CCCCGATAAGTTCTTATTTGACTGATTGAGCATGTATTTTACGTGTGCCTGCGTCGCATGGATGATTCGCGAGCGGGGTATGTGTTTATTTATGGAACGGGCCGAATGCCTCGGTGAGAATAGATGCATCTATGGTTCGTGCCGCTCGACCCTCGGCAGTGCACAATTTACATTTCTGTTGGAGCGGGCCGTCGACCTCGGCATGATTTGCGCGTGTTTATCTGTTACTTGAAAATTGTAAATGTGGGATTGGCCCTACGTGGCTTGATATAAACTGATAAGATAATAAAGAATAAACCTTGAAGCCCTTGATTATTGTTGAAGGTGTTTTTCTTGTTTTTCCTGGCTTCCCGAACTAGAACTACTATATGACTCCACGATTATTCTCGCATTATTGAATATTGATAATTGACCTCTAGTGAGTGTCGAAATTGGCCATCTCGTCTCTACCCCTTCGGGATTAGGCGGGATACTCACTGAGTACACGTTGATTACGTACTCATACTACACTTCTGTGCATTTTTGTTGCACAGGTATATTTCACATTTGGTAGCAGCACGGATAATTTGGGGACTTGGTGAGCTGCATTGTTCGAGACGACCCGCAGCTAGAGTAGTTCCCTTCCAGTACCTTACTTATTCATTCTTTGTCCACTGTATTTTGAACAGACATTTGTATTTTATTGTCCTTATCAGTAGTTGCTCATGCACTTGTGACACCGGGTTCTGAAATGGTTTTTCTTTGAAAGTTGCGTATTATTAGCTATCTCTTCATTTGAATTGAAACAGAGGTTGTATGTATATGAAAAAAAAAATGGAAGTAAAACTCTTAGATTTTTAAAATTATTAAAAGAGAAATTAATGGATGAGTTAGTTGGCTTGCCTGACAACGGTGTCCGACGCCATCACGACCCGTAGTGAATTTGGGTCGTGACACTCATGCTACCAAATAAAATCATATTCTCTTCATTGGTTAGTTATAAACGAGGGGATGCCTAGATGGGATGGGTTTAATGTAAGCAAATCCATCAGTAAATTGAAGGTGGACATGATGAGTTCATAAATGAAGCAGGTATGGCAGCTGCAACTGAAGATAAAGAAACTCACTCATATGAAATAGACCCTGCTCGGGTAGTAATTTAATGCTTTGTAACAACTAGATTGCTTGATCTCTTTTTACACTCTTTTGGGTTGAGATAAGAGTTGGTGTCTGATACTGCGTTAAAATAAGTTGCAGGAGTTCCATTATCAATTTTGGTTCTTAATTGGTCTATTACTGTCTGCTACATAGAAAACACAAGACGAAGAATACATAGGTTAATGAAGTTGAAAATGTATGAAACTGGTAGAGTATATTTGGTCTCCTCAATTATAGGTTGCGCTTGGGTATTTCAAACCATGTCTCTGTTCTGTTGATTTTTCGGCTTTGGTCCTCGAGCAATTTCTTTCCATGTTTACTGTTGGCCCATTACTGACTTCTGACGTCTACATAAAAGACCGAAGACGTAGAATACATAGGTTAATAATGTAGAATACATACATCTTACTAATTAATATATGTATTTTATGATTAATGTTTAATTTTTTTTTCCTGAATCGTAATATCAAAAAGTATGACTAAAATTATGACTCTTGTTTCACAGGTACATGAATGTGGAAGTTCTTTGGGGGTAAATTTATTAGACAAAGTGACTACATTACAATTATTCTTGTATTCCGTTTAGACTTTCATTTCGGATAGATTTTATTTTATATATGTATTTTAATTTATGGAGTTTGTAATGAGATATTATCTCAAATATAGTATTAACTTTTTAGAATTATATGATCATGGATGATAATTTTAGGACTGTTTTGGTTGTTTTAAGTTCTAGTTTGTAGTATTTTGTTATTGAAAACCAATTGCAAAACACTTTTTTTTTGCCCAGAAACTCATAATTTCCGACCGAATTCGGTCGGAAATTTTCAATAAATTCTCCAGATTATTTAAATTTCCGACCGAAACAATTTATAAATAATTATTTAATTAAATAAAATTATTTTTTTTTTAAATTTCCGATCGAATTTGGTCGGAAAATGAAAATCCAAATAAAAAAAATAATTAGTAGTTTCCGACCGATTTCGGTCGGAATTTGCAAATTAGAAAAACAAATATTTAATAATTTCTGACCGAAAATAAAGTTTGGCAGCCAGTCAACGCGTTGAAGTTTCCGACCGATTTCGGTCGGAAATTTCCGACCAATTGCGGTCGGTACACGTTTGAGACCATTATTTTTTCGTCCAATTAAAATCGGTCGGAATTTGGTCGGAAATTATCAATTTTCGACCGATTTCGATCGGAAATTGCGGACGGAAATCACCTGATTTCTAGTAGTGGTATACACGTTATTACCTAATTATTACCCCATCAGTTTATGTGAACATATTTCCTTTTTGGTCTGTTCGAAAAAGAATGTCCCCTGTTACAATCAAATAAACGAAGTGATTTGAGAAGAGAACGAATCAGAACCATAGTTCTGAGAGAGATCGAAAAAGGGAATTTTTATTAAAAGAGATAAACTGAGTTCTCTAATCTCTTTACAAAACAGCCTACCACTATATATATACAAGGTAAAGAATGCTATGTGTGTAAAGAATGGCTATTGCTAAAACAATGTTACAAGTATAAATATGACTAACTAATAGAGTCTTCCGGGTTGTTGTCATTCTGGGCCAGTGGGCCTGTGTCTTTGAGTTGGGCTGAAGTGGAAGATGTATAATAATGTTGTGGTCCAACCCCCCCTGCAAGCTGGAATGGGGAACCAGGCCAAGCTTGGAGAGGAAAGAGCAATGAGAAACACCAGGCAACGCTTTAGTAAAAACATCAGCCAGCCGGGAAGTGGTAGAAACAACATGTAGAGTAATGAGGCCAGACTGAAGCTTTTCACGCACAAAATGGCAGTCAATCTCGATATGTTTAGTGTGCTCATGAAACACAGGATTGCGAGCAATATGGATAGCAGAACGATTGTCACAGAACACCGGAACAGGGGTGACGGAAGAAATGCCAAACTTACCCAGCAACCTGACCAGCCAAACAATTTCAGCAACTAGATGCCTTAGAGCTCTGTACTCAGCTTCAGCGGAAGAGAGTGAAATAGTAGCCTGCTTCTTGGACTTCCAGGAAATAGGACACCCTCCTAATAGCAACACAAAACCACTAACAGACTTCCTGGAGGAAGAAAAACTGGCCCAGTCAGAGTCACAGTAGCCAGTCAATTCAAAAGAAGAGGAGTCATTGAACACCAAACCCAACTCAGATGTACCCACTAAATATCGCAACACATGTAGGCCAGCTTCAAAATAGGGAACTCTGGGTTGGGACATGAACTGACTAAGGTGTTGAACACTGTAAGAAATGTCAGGCCGAGTATGTTGAAGATAATTCAACTTGCCAACTAACTTTCTATATAAGGAAGGGTCTGGAAGCAAGTTTCCAGAATCAGCAGCCAATATATGTCTAAAGGGAAAACAACAGAACTAACATGGAGGCAATGAAACTCAGAAAGTAAATCCAAAAGAAACTTCTGTTGAGTGACCACCAGACCATTAGGATGCTTAATAAACTACAAACCTAAGAAGTAGTGGGCTTCTCCCAGGTCTTTGATCCGGAATTGATCATCCAAAAATTGTTTCAAGGCAGAAAGTCTGACATGATCATCACCAGTTAACAAAATGTCATCAACATAAACAACTACAATAGTGAGGGAGCCATCAACCAGTTTAGTAAATAAAGAATAATCATTTTTACTAGGAATGTACCCCTTTGACTGAAGAGCAGATGAGAGCTTTGCATACCACTGCCTTGAAGCTTGTCTAAGGCCATACAAAGATTTGTTAAGTTTACACACTAGAGGAACAGAAGAATCAGATGAAACAACCTGGAGGCCCAGAGGTATCTTCATATACACCTCTTTATCCAAATCACCATGTAAAAAGGCATTATTCACATCCAATTGGAAAATAGTCCAATGTTTCTTAACAACAAGACTAATCAACCACCTAATAGTGGTAAGTTTGACAACAGGAGAAAATATTTCAGTAAAATCAATCCCCTCTTGTTGAGTATCCCCCCTTATGACAAGTCTAGCTTTGTATCTTTCTATACTACCATCCGCCTTTTGTTTAACCTTATAAACCCATTTAGAAGAAATAGCCTTTTTACCAGAAGGTAAAGGAACTATAGTCCAAGTATTATTGGCCTCTAAAGCCTGAAATTTAACCAACATAGCAGCCTGCCAAGCAGGGTTAGACACATCTTGATGGTAAAATTGAGGTTCAAACAAGCAAGCATCAGAAGTAGAATTAGAGTCCATAGAAGCAGATACATTTGTGCAAACATAATCTTTTAGGTGTGATGGAGGGTTATATGAGGTCTGGAGGACCTCCTTAAATAAACAGGAGGATCACCAGAAGAGGAGGTAGAAGAAGTAGGGACAGTAGGATAAACAGGAGAAGAAGTAGAAATAGTAGGAGAAACAGAATAATCAGCAGAAGTAGAGGTGGAAGGAGGAAAGAAAGTAGGGGGAGAAGAAATAGTATAAGGAAAGACAGACTCCTGGAAAATAACATCTCTAGAAAAAAATACATTGTGCTTGGTTAAGTTGAGCACCGCCTTCTTAGTCATACTATAGCCAAGAAAAACACAAGTAATAGTCCTTGGTTGAAATTTGTCCCTATAAGGCTTAGGAACAGCAACAAAGCATAGACAACCAAAAACTTAGAGGTGAGAATAAGAAGGAGGCTGACCATACAACAAATCATAAGGTGTTTTATGATTAAGCAATGGCGATGGAAACCTGTTAATAAGGTAAGTAGCAGTGAGAAGACACTCCCCCCAATACTTGAGAGGCAACTTAGATTGAAACAAGAGAGATCTAGCAGTCTCTAACAGATGTTTATGCTTCCTTTCCACAACTCCATTTTGTTGTGGAGTGTGTGGACAAGAAGTCTGATGTATAATACCCTTGGAGGAAAAAAATGAAGCAGCTTCAGCACTAGACCCCAACTCAAATGCATTGTCAGACCTAAGTGTCTTAACAGAAGAGTTGAATTGATTTTGAACAAAAAATATGAAAGATTTCAAAAGGGTGAAGGCATTTGACTTAGTAGAAAGTAAATGAGTCCAAGTGGCCCTTGAAAAATCATCCACAATAGTAAGAAAATATCTGAAACCATTGTAGGTTTGAGTATGATAAGGGCCCCATAAATCTACATGAACAAGTTGAAAAGGGCTGGTGGTTTTAATAGTACTATCAGGGAAAGAAAGCCTTTGCTGCCTAGCCATAGGGCAAATATTACAAACAAAAAACTGTTTCTTGGACAACTTGTCTTTAATATGAGAAATTGATTTCATTTTATTAAAAGGCGTTTGACCAAGTCTGAGATGCCAAAACATATCAAAATCAAAAGAAGGAGGAACAGGTTGCACACCAGTAGAAANAAGTTGATGTAAAGAAATCAGGTTATATTGAAAAGAAGGCACAAACAAGACATTATGTAGAATTATATGACTAGACAGGGGTAAGGATCCTGAACAAGTCACCTTAACCCTATAACCATTTGGCAGGATCATTAAGTAAGGAATTACTAGGGGTTTCAGGTTGATTAAGAGAGATTTGTTAGGTGTCATATGATTTGTTGCACCAGAATCTATTATCCAAGGATCACCTTCTAATCTAGACACATTGCAAGTAAAAACACAACAGTTTCTAACATCAAGACAGTGCACCAAACCTGCAAAATTGGCATATCCAAAAATGGTAGTGTCTTGTGGTGAGATCTTGGTTTGATGGAACAAGTTCAACAGTTGCTCATATTGCTCCTTTGTAAAGCCATGATTATTGTTGGGAGACTGTTCAGAAAGACTATCAGGGATAGGAGCATCAAGAGTAACTGCACTCTGAGAATCTGATACATGAGCATAAGCTGCAGTCTTCTTGAATTTGTTTGGTTGAAAACTGTTAGGAGGACCACCATTAGGGTAGCCATGCAGTTTGTAGCATTTTTCTATGGTGTGGCCAGGTTTTTTGCAATACTTGCATACCAAATTAGGCTTTTTGGATTCAAAAACAACCTTCTGTTGGTAGGGGCTTTGCATTGCAGCATTAGCAGGTCCAGGATATGATTTCTGAATATTTGTTGAGAAAGAGGCAGTCTCAGGAGAAAAGGAAGGCGCTGAAGATTGAGCCTCACACTAACTTTCATTAGTGAGTAACATAGAATATGCAGTATCAATGCATGGAAGAGGATTCATTGCTACCCCATTAAAAACTGGTGCAATTTCTGATCCTCCTCCAATTTCTGAAATGCTTCTTTACACCCACACACACAATTAGGATAGGTGATAGAGTAGGCTAGTTCGTCCCACAATTTCTTGATTCTAGAGAAATAGGCAGCAATGTTTGAGTTTTCTTGAGAAATGGAAGACAGAGATTTGCGAATTTGATAAACTTTGGATCCATAAGGTTGACCATAACGTTTTTCTATATCTTTCCATAGTTTGGCAGCTGACTCGGTATACATTACACTCTCTCGAATTTTAGCTTCTAAACTGTTCAAAATCCAAGCAATCACCATATCATTGCATCGGCACCAAGCCTCAAATAGTGGTGAATTAGAATTAGGTTTGCTAATTGTTCCATTTATTATTCCTAGCTTATTTTTACATGATAAGCCAATCAACATTCCCCGACGCCAACTACCATAACCCATTCCATTGAACCTATCAGCAACAATAACAGTTCCAGAATTATCAGTTGGATAAAGGTATAGTGGATAAGAAGGTTCGACAGTACTTGCATTAGAATCAGTCGCAACAGAAGTGGAGGAGTCGGTGTTCACCATGTTGAAAATAGGGTTTATAGAAAATTAGGGCACACAGCAGTAAAAATGCAGAACTGAAAGAGAATACCAGTCTTCTTCAGCAACTTGAAGAAGCAAAAGTCTCGTGTAGGAAACAAAAGAGAACTTCACCGGAAAATACCGCAGAAAACCGCCTCCGGCCACCACAACGAATTGAACAAAAAAATCAGAACCAGCCTTCGAGGGTAACATCGGACGGCAGCTGACAGTCCGATCTATCCATTTTCGAGCTCTGATACCATGTTACAATCAAATAAACGAAGTAATTTGAGAAGAGAACGAATCAGAACCCTAGTTATGAGAGAGATCGAAAAAGGGAATTTTTATTTAAAGAGATAAACCGAGTTCTCTAATCTCTTTACAAAATAGCCTACCACTATATATATATATATATATATATATATATATATATATATATATATATATATATATATATAGTAAAGAATGACTATTGCTAAAATAATGTTACAAGTATAAATATGACTAACTAATAGAGTCTTCCGGGTTATTGTCATTATGGGCCAGTGGGCCTGTGTCTTTGAGTTGGGCTGAAGTGGAAGATGTATAATACTGTTGTGGTCCAACATCCCCTTCGTAAATTTGAAAATAAATTAATTTAAACTTCCCATTCTACCCGTAAGAAGTTGTTATAGCCATACAAATAATCTTGTATGTTTAACACCATACAAGAGTATATTTACTTTGTGTCGAACCTCCTTAATTTCGTGTATATTTACTTTTTTTATATTTTGACATCCGGTGGGTTCCCTTAACCAAGCCATTGCCTATGAGTCGCGGGCTCATTCTTCAACAGGCACGCGGTCAGAGCCCTGGCTCCTCCCACTGCTTGGGAGCTTATGATTTCATGTTCTATTTTACTCTCCTTAGTAAAAATCATAATTCTGCCATTGACCATAAGTTTCAAAAGAATTATAGCCATAAATATGTTATGGCTTGTGAAGTCTTCATTTCTGTTTTTAAATTTCGTAACCAATTAAATAGATTCGCATAAATTGAAACGGATGAAATATTATTATTGCGTAGATTCCATATCAGTATTGGTTAATTGATTAAGATGGAAATGTAAGTGTTCTTTTTAATAATGTAAAAGGCGCTCAAATATTTGGTACGGTATGTTGTCTTATTTGCCTGTTTGTTTGTTGGATTCTTTTGAAGAATGTGGTATTTGTTACTAACAAATAATACTATCATAATAATAATCAAACAATTTGGTGTGTCTGTGACCGGCGGCTTGTTGTTTTGTCTTAACTTTTGTGCAGCGAACACTAGTAGTGGGTGTAATGAAGTCATTTACCATTATTAAACAAACAAAAAGATAATATAATAAAATTCATTAGTCGTAACCCTACAATAAAATCGATAAAAATGATACCGAAAGAAAAGAATGAATAATTAGAGAATACATACTGTTCCTATCATTACTCAGTAATTATTAATCAATAGAACTATTATCTCTAACAATTCATACAATTTTACTGTTTTGTTTCTCATTTTATATCTGCACAATGCTTTTGCATATAATAAATATGTAGTACTATAGCTATACTAAAATGTTCTCTATCTTTCTATTAATCTATGGTAGGTCAGCTCCTCTTTCTTATCCTTGCTTTTCCGTGTCAGATTCGGAGACAAATCAAAAATTTAAACTTGATAGGGCCAATCTTTCTATTCTCATTGTTAAACTCATTTCACTGTTGCAATTATGGGTTTGGACTAAATATTTATTAAAACTCTAGTGATTTTTCTCATTTATATTTATACATAATTATGTTTCGTGTAAAAAATTATCTGGTGCAATTGCTAATGTTAAGATCTCGAAGGAGGAGAACAAGACCAAAGTTATTTAAGTCTAACTTGGAGAAACCCGATTCACAGGCTTCAGGGGCCCAATACACAAAGCTAAGTTCAGAGGCCCAATCACAAAGAAAATTGGCCCACTGGATCATCAAGCATGAAACATATGCTTGCATATTCGTCCATAGAACAAAGTAAATATGTAATTATTAGAATAATTGTTGAAGACTCAAATGCTTATATGTTGCATATGCTTGCCCACTGGATCATCAAGCATGATAACTTATATGTTGTTCTATATCTCCATAATATTTAGAAACTTTTGCTTGCATGGTATTGTTTAGTTTAATACTGGAACTGATAACATTCGAGATTATATAGGTACGATTATACACCAAAGATCTTTTTGTGGTTCTCTCTCTTCAGCCTTATATCTTTTATCCCCAGGAGGTGTTCCTCTCCAGGTTTTTTCGAAGATATTTATTCTAGAGTTAGCCAAATTTGATGACTTATTTAGGGAAAGACGAAGTAAGATCAAGCTATTCGAGACGTTGCAACATATGTTGGGAAGGCCTTTAATTTGTTATATGAATTAGCGGTATTTGATCCAATGTGAAGGCATGATATGTTCGTTATGCGCAAATTTTGCCGGTGCCAAAAATAAAGAGCTAAGTTTTCCTCTTCTTTCAGTCGAGCATGTTCGCCATTTAGCATTTCTTTTCTCGAAGTAAGAATAGGAGAAAGGAAGCACACTTGATCAGTTACGACGGCGTATGGTAAGACAAAAAATTCCCATTCATCGAAAAAAAAAAATATGAAAGAATTAGGGGTTATTACGACTAAAACAAACATTAATTTTGTTTAAAATAACCGATACATTGTTTGAACCATTGGATTAAGGAATTTTCTCTATGACCTATTTTGGAGGATCATGTGAAGGAATCCCTATAAACAAGACCAGATAAAAATAGAAAATATGCATCTCTGATCAGCAGACTAAGTTAAACCCTTACATATTGTTACTAATAATACTAGATGAGGGTTGCCCGTGCTATGCACGGGCCCAACAGAGTCACTATCAAAGAAATACATGTATTCTACTCTTGTTTACACTTAAAGTCATATACAGACTTACATATCCTGATTGACGGCCATCTACTGTATTGCAAAAATGTTGGCTCCTTCGTATCTATGCTCAAGAATCAAAAGAAGTTACATTATAATACATGGTCAATGAAAGAAGTTTCAGTCAAAATAGACATGTGCAATTGTTTTCAACCGATGTTGTCCAGTCTCTTTCACGCAATTTCCTTGAAGCATCATCTCTTGGGTTCTCTGATTCTTCAGTTCTACCCTAACAAAGAGAATCACGTTAGAATTCACTGAGGTAGCTTATACAGAATTTTTCAAGTTCAAATTAAATGTGAGTATTAATGCTGATAGCTACTATAGATCAGTAAGCCAGAGTTGAAAAATTAACCGCTAATCTTACTGCAATGCGATAAAAGCTACAGACTATCTATTATGTTGCTCTTTTACCTGTTAGAATTTGAAATATGAGATATCAGCTATATCCATAGCACATTAATAAATTGAATTTTTTTATTTTCCTTTTACATTTTTATTAGTAGTACAAACAAACAAAGGGAAACTACTACTATTTTTTACCTCTTCAGAGAGGGTAGATATCCTACAATTACAATAGATTCTGATTTATTATGAAATATGAAGATGCAATCGAGGCAATTTATCCATCTAAATAGTATGGCCAAAGCAAGATTCTTTTTGGCATGATCCTCTTTATGTTTACTTCTTGAGTAATGATTCACTACAGGAGCCATCTGTTTCTATATATCGCTTTTCAATACTACTCATGAGAATACAAAAGAAGAAGGAACATATAAGCTTCCAACAATTCATAACCTTGATAAGCACATCAGGAATAAATGAAATAAAATCATAATTAATTAGTTGAACAGAGAAATCCAATTTAGGAGCACCAACGATACTTAGATAAAGTTACCAAATGAAGGGATACAAGCGTGACTCAGACACCAACAACAAAATTGAAGAGGTGCCGAGTAATGAAATAATTTATAATTTTCAGAAAAGAAACTATCATATATCTAAAATTTTATTCCACAAATTAATGCCGAAAATTCCTAAAGCGTCTAGATGGTACAAGATACACCTAAATGCAGCAATAATAAATCTGTAAATGCCATTACATAAATTTGCTGAAAAAGAATTGCATATATGAATCTCATCTTTGCAATTGTTAAAATAAATGATTGTGGTCCTAAATGTAGCACATAAAGGCAGCAGTGTAGACATCTAATCAACAAATGTGAGAATGAGAGGTTGTTCTATTTACTTACTGTGTATTTTTGACGTTTGGCTTGATGTTTGGTTTATTCATTGGATGGCAATAGCTAATGTATTATGCGGCAACTCATGATGGATCAACTCTTAGGCACGAAAAGTAAGAGTTGACATGTCCATATAAATGACTAAAGTTGAGTCTTTTGTCAGCTGCATTCTCCACACAAAAGTGAGTTTCTTCTGTTTAAATGTCCTATGAGAAAGCTAACACTATCAACAAAATATGATGATGATGGGTTAATGAATCCCAATACTATTGATATCCCATAAACTATAGCAGTACCAGAAATGACCACAGTGAAGCCTATGTATGCACGTACAATCAGATTTTGCATTGAAAAGAAGGTACCATTTCTTCCCATGATGTCCTCTTCAAGATAGGATAAATCATAATCTTGAGCAATTAAGAATATGTGAAATTTTGGGAAGAAACTGATGTCCTTCTATTCTAGTACAATAAATCTTCTTCTTCATATGAGACCAAGATATAAATTTTAGGCATCTAAATTGAAAGCAACTTAGGAGAAAATAGATTCTTCGAGCAGAATAGGTCATTTCCCCTTCAATCAACGGTAAAATAGCATTGATGACATCTAAAGTGAAAGAAATCTTAAATTGATAAATTATAGTTCTAAAAAATAAGATATTATTTCTTTATTAGTTAAGAGAGCCTTGCTTTTGTTCCACACAATTAATGATGCAGGAAATATGCTTTGTCCAAATGCCCATCTTAATTAAAACTTACTTTAGTCATTAAAGTACATATTTGGTGTAACCAAAATAAA